GTTTATGTTAATGTAGCAAAATAAATCTTGTGAAAATTCTATCAAAAATATCATAAAAACAACAACATTGAATACACATTTTTATTAATTGGCTTCATAAAGAATAATGAAATGATAAAATCATATCAAAGCACTTCTATAGTATCCATAAACATTTTGCGGATCTGCAATTTTACTTGCAACTTTTGGTTCTGGAAATGTGTGAATGTTTATTTATGTTTTATATATAAATGTAATTAATGCGTAATTAATATTTTTAGATCATTTACAAATGGCTAAGCAACAAGTTGCATGTTTATGTTAATATAGCAAAACAAATCTTGTGGGAATTTTATAAAAAATATTACATATACAGTTGAATGGAAAGTGTCAGAGTTAGAGCCTGACATAGAAATGTTAAGCATTAATCAAATAAGAGAAATAAGGTAATAATTTTGTTTATAAATTATATAATAAAGATTATATATTTTCTTGGACTAAATATTTTAAGGACAAGACTTAGTCTATTTAATTTTTTTTGACATAATGGTTAAACTTATTTTTTTAAAGCAATGAGAAACATGAATGTGGAAATTGATGGTTTGTTCGGACGAAGCTGCCTTTTGCAATATAATATTATCGGAGAGCATTAGAATATCTATCATCGACAAAAAGTAGTTCAAATTTGAATCAAAATGAGGAGAAACGGACGGTTAGTGATGCTGAATTGCAAATATTAGAGAATGGTGTAAAAGTTCATAATAATTTGGCAGCTGCATTGATTAAAAGATAAGCCTACAATGCAGCTTTAGAAAATGTGAAACATGTTTTGAAGTGTCAACCACAAAATGTGAAAACGCTATTTAGGAAAGGTATTGTAAAAAACCTAATCTTCCTTTATTTATTATATTTGTAACGGGTGTACTTTTTATGAGCTCGCGGATTCGCTCGGTCGTGATCAGGGCTCGGTATTTAACGTTTAAAAATGGGCGCTTGGCGCCTCTGCCCCTGCCCGGCCGATGTTCGCCGGGCGGCAGACTTCCGGCGGTCTACTGCCGGGTAACAATGTGTCACCATGGGGTGCATTGTTACATATTTAATCTATTCTTTTAAATAAGTTGTATATATTCTTGATTTATATTTTATATATGAAAAATTCAAATATGTGTGTATATATATTATGCGTATCGTAGAAACAATATTGAAACACAAATGAGAATATGCCAAAGCTTATGCAATCTCTTTCTCCACTAAAATTCAAAAATTAAATCCAGAGATGAAGATATTTATTACAGAATTAATGACCTTAAAGAATAAAATTGCTAGAGATGCAGAAAAAGAAAAGCACCTATATCATAACATGTTAAGTGTAGTTGAAGATACTAAAAATCTGTCGAAGGATATAAAAGCATATGATAAAAGTAAGTAATTAAGTAAAGGATATAGGTACTTTTCTTTTTCTGTGTCTTTAATAATTTTGTCCTTTAAGGCCATTAATTCTGTAGTAAATATCTTCATTTCTGGATTTAATTTTTGAATTTCAATGGAGAGAGAGATTGCATAAGCTTTCGCATATTCCCATTTGTATCTTAATATTGTTCCTACGATATGCATAATATATATATATACTTGAATTTTCCATATGTAAAATATAAATTAAAAATATATACAACTTATTTAAAAAAATAGATTAAATAGAGTAATAAAAGAAGATTAGATTATTTGCAATACCATTCCTAAATAGTGCTTTCACATTTTGTGATTGATACCACAAAACATGTTTTACATTTTCTAAAGCCGCATTGTAGGCTTGTCTTTTAATCAATGCAGCTGCCAAATTATTATGAACTTTTATATCATTCTCTAATATTTGCAATTCAACATCATTAACCGTTCCTACCTCCTCATTTTGATTCAAATTTGAACCACTTTTTATCGATGGTAGATATTCTAATGCTGTCCGATAACATTATATTGCAAAAGGCAACTCCATCTGAATAAACCATCAATTTCTACATTCATGTTTCTTATTGCTTTAAAAAAAAAGTTCAACCATTATGTAAAAAAAAGTTAAATAGACTAAGTCCTGTCTTTAAAGTATTTAGTCCAAGAAAATAAATAATCTTTATTATTATTATTATTATTATTATTATTAAATATAATTTACAAAATTATTACCTTATTTCTCTTCTTTGATTAATGTTTAACATTCTATTTCAGGTTCTAACTCTGACACTTTCAATTCAATAGTATATGTAATATTTTTTACAAAATTCCCACAAGATTTGTTTTGCTACAAACATAACATGCTATTAACTATACAAGATGCTATTAAATATGCAACTCATTGCTTAGCCATTTGTAAATGACCTAAAAATATTAATTACGCCTTAATACATTTATATATAAAATATAAATAAACATTCACACATTTCCAGAACCAAAAGATGTGAGTAATTCCAGATCCGCAGAATGTTTGTGGACACTATTGAAGTGCTTCGATATGATTTTATCATTTCATTATTCTTTATGAAGCCAATTTATAAAAATTTGTATTCAATATTGTTATTTTTATGTTGTTATTTTTGATAGAATTCTCATAAGATTTATTTTGCTACATTAACATAAACTCATTACGTAGCCATTTGTAAGTTAACCTAAAAATATTAATTATGCATTAATTACATTTATATATAAAATATAAATAAATATTATATATACGAATGCGCGTTCATGCATATAATTACCGGCTTATCGAAAATATGACCAGCCAAAATCTCCAAATATTCCTGCAATGCCTCCATAATCATTTTTTAACAATCTATTTATCACAAATATGTTAATTGATAATGCATAGATTCAAGCATTGCGTGTAAAGCATTTGTTCAATTTCACTAATATAATCTAACTTTGTTCAATACAATTAGAAGAAATCATTTCTCTTCCTTGCACTATTCCGTGTTAATAATTTCTTTTCACTTTATTACTTTCCTTCCTTGTGTTGTACCATTCCGCGATATCAAGAGACACGTGTCTCGCGCCAAGTCACGCGAAGCAAAGACCGCGCGTAACAAGAGCGAGGCCAGGGTTGCCAGATATTATGGGTGGAAAGTAGCCGAAATTCTCGTGCGAAATAGCCCAAAATCGCCATCTTGTATACCGACCAATCAGATCCAAGAAATTCGTTTTGTGTCGCTTGTCGCTGTCTCGCCTAAAAAAACGTACTATAAGGAATATATACCATTGCGAAGCCCACAAATAACAAACCTCAAGACCATTGCACGTGAACAAATTTTAGTCGTAACCGTAAGCCCGTAAGCAAATCAACTAATCACAGTTCAAACATTCTTATTACGTTCTAGAATGTTTGATTGTGATTGGTCGATTTGCTTACGGTTTTACGATTACGACTAAAACTTTTTAACGTGCAATGTGAATTTATGTAGGAAATTATTTTATGGGACTAAAATATAAATACAATATTTATAAAAATTATTTTATGGAATGAAATATACAGATATTTAAAGATAGATGTTTATAGATAGATATTTACAGATAGAAAAATCTTTATAATTTTATCAGGTACTTAATCTTCGTATATTCTAATCTTTAGTACAATATCTTTGGTACGATTTATAATGAAAGTATATACATTTCATATTATACGATGTCATCCTGTGCAAACAATGTTATCGTCTCACTTAGGCAATCTTCTGGCTCATTTGCAATTGAATTTCCTGAAGTATTTTCAATTATCGGCAGCTTAATATCGTACATTTTCGAGGTGAATTTCGCGTACATAATTTTAGATGGCACAAATCTTTGGCAACAAATCTTTCTTGCGTGAAAATGTGTTCGTATTCTCAAGATTGCATCAAGCATCGTGAAATTTATTTTGTTTCGCGATTTTGTTTTAGTGGCATTCATCACTGAAAACACTCGTTCGGCTACTGCATTGCTAAATGGTAGTGATAAAATTTTCAATGCGAATTTGGCCAATTTCTTGAATGGTTGAGAACTACTAGCATCTTTATATACACGAACGTTAGACCAAAATGCAATAGAACTTTCCATAACTTGGTCCGCAAAATGTGATGACCAATCGATGAAGGGAAGTTTTCGCAATTGACTCTCTACCTCGGAGAGATCGGTCTGAATGTCAAGTAAAGCTATCGGTAAGTCTTCGATAGAGAGTTTTTTTATCCTGTTCAATACTGATTTCAGACACAATTTCGTCGATGTCTTCATGATTGACATGTTGCTTGGAATTCGTTTTAGAAGCTCTGTCAGTAGAGTAATCAAATACTGATAGCACCGACCTTTGACATCGTCCAACTTTTCGGGGTTTAAGTTGTACGCTGCAGCCGCATTCTTAAACTCGATCCCGAAATCCACATTACTCAATGATTGCAGAGCCATCTCGTTATTCAATGCTTCTTCGATGCAATTGAATTTCGCCTCGGTCTTAATCGCATTTGCTATGAATAACGGTTTAATAATGCGAGTAGCAAATGACAGTACGAGCGCCGTCAAAGCTTCATACACCTTTGTAATCTCTTGTTGCATACTTTGAAATAAAACATTTGTTTCGTTAATTTCATACAAAATCGATTTCAAGAAGATTAGATACAGGTGATTTGCCGGGTCTTTAAACATGCTGTACAATGTTCTCGCGGTATAACATTTCTCTTTTCCGGTTATTATTATTTCAAAATGCGTTTTCAGCTCTATCCATTGATACAATATTCGCTTTACGGCTCCTTCCCATGCTAGCCATCGGGTTATAGATAATTGTACAAGAAGTACTTTGTTATCATCATTGATCAAGTTGAATAAATCTGCATAGTGAGCACGTCTCAACGGGCTATTCGCAAACCAATTTCTCGTTTCTCGCACAAGAAACTCGAGAGATGAAGGCAATACTTCCGATGCTTTTGAACTACATAAGTGAAGCGAATGGCAAATACATCGTACGTTAACATATATATATACTATGTACATATATATATTTTGTACTTATTTACTGCACATTTTTACTTATCTATTGCACAATATATATAATATTTATATTATGTTATTATAATGTATATTATATATTATGTTATATAATAAACTACTTATATAATAAAGTAACATATAAAATTTATGGACGGCTCGCATGTTCTTCTTCGGAGACATCTTCGAAGACAGCTTCGCGTTGCTGTTGTTTTCTCATTTTTGTCCTATAAAAATAAAATGTCAAAAATTAATACAAAATTTATAATATCATACACAACATAAATCCTTAAAAATCACAATTTTTTACAAATGTTTTAAATTATTATTTATATTAATTATTATTTAATTATTATTTACATTATGATATATTTACGCTATAAAATATTTATATAACATATAATTCTTATTATTAATGAATATATACATACTGTGCTCTTTGTTGTCGCCACTTAGCATGCACCAGCCAACTCGATGTAATTTCGGCTATTTGTTTGTCACTCGATTCCGGTTTATGGATTCGTACCACTCCTATTATAAATATAAATAAAAATTATTGATATTATTATAACGATATATTATACAAAATGAACTTTTAATTATACAAATATTTTACTGCAATAATTCTTAAATATGGACCATTATATTTATAATTAATATAGAAAATAAGTCAATAAAAATGAAAATATCGAAAAGTTGAGTAGTTCGCGATATAAAAGCGAGCAAAAAAATAAAAGTTTTCTATGCTTTGGATAATGAAACGGATAACAAAATTGTTTCTTTTTTCGATTAATTTCAAGCGGACTTTATGTTAATAAACTTATAATTTACAGTTTAACTATAAAGAGACTGTTATGCTAGAAGTTGAAAAATCGCTATAAATAAGGATCTCCGACAAAATAGCTCACAAATTTCGACTGAATCAACAACTTTTTAAACAAATATTTAATGAAAAATAACGCTGTGTAAATAATAAGCGTTAATTAACAAATATATAATAACATATGATTTCGGTTTAACTGGTATGCAAAAATTAAAAATTGTCATATCTCAGGAATAAAATTATATCATATTGATATGAATTTGATGGAGTCATGTATTTACGCAAAAGTTTTTTATGCTCATAAATAAATATATATAATTATTCTACAGAATATTACTAATATTCTAAAGAATATCTAATATATACATGTAAACCCATTCAGGAGATATAATATCATATTATATAATATGAGGTTTGAATTCATCGCAATCCACAAAAATATAACGATGCCATATCTATATTAACAATTTTATGTATGGCAGTTTGAGGAATAATTGTTACGAAAAGTTTTTCATAAATATACATATAATATAGAAAATATTATA